GGAGCCGGGGAGCGGGGAAGGCGTCGAGCGGTCGAACGGGCGCATGTGTGCGGCAGGTTTCTTGCTGCGCCGCCCTTCCCGTCGGGCAGCGACACTCGCCACCGGCGAGTGTCGAAGGCCATGCTTCTGCGCCTTCTCTTGCATGGCAGTGCATGATCGCTAATTACAGACTCTTCCGTGCGCGTTGCAGTGGATGATCGCGGGCATCTGCTATGCCAGGTGGTAATTCGCCTACGATTGGCGCTGGCCAAACAGCGTGCCACATCGCTTTCCGAAAAGCACGCCGTCTCTCTGAGGCGATCCCCCCGCAAGGGCCGCCTGTGTGCACACTGTGCCCCTGCTAGGGCTTCTGCGGTGCACGCTCACTATCTCCAAGATGGGGGATAGCCTGTCATGGGCGGGCTGGCGGCGCCCACATCGCACGCTATACGTTCAATCCCAACCGCAAGATTGCCCCAGCTCAGCGCACCCCGCCGCGGGATGAAAAAAATGTGTTTGTGTGTGCGAGTGAGTGAATGATGCTGTCGATCCCCTGTGGGCGAGTCAGGCATCTCCACGCCGCGTGCTCTGGGCCGCGCGCGCGTCTCCTCGCCCGACCTCTCTCCGCCGCGCCGCTGCGCGCGTGGCCGCGACGCCAAGAAAGTGCGAGTGGCAGGCCCCTCGCCACGACGCCCTGGGCTGAGCGGGCCTCCCCGCCAGTTCCCGCCCGCCGCGGCGGAGAGGTCGGCCTAGTGGCCGCCCTCGTCGGGCGATGGCCGAGCTCGGCCTCCTCGGAGGCCCGTTCTGGGGCCCAAGGGGCCATGAGAGAGCGGCCGGCCCGCGGCGAGAAAAAAAGTAGGCAACCACATGCGAACCCCACTCCTGCGGGTCAGATTGGCATGGCCTATGGCGGGACCCCAGCCGAAGGTGCGGAGGTGGCTCGTGCCCCCGCGTTCCCGGCTGCACACGCAGGCGACCACATGCGAACCCGACCCCTGCAGGTCGACTTTCTGAAGCGCCGACTCGGGTTCCGAATTCGAAGGATGTCTGCAGCCGAATGAACCCCAGCGGGGGTGTCCGACACCCCAGCGTCGGTTGGACCGATCTCGGCCTCCGTGGAAGCCCGCTTTGGGGACCCCCGGGGTCATCACAAAGCGGCCAGCCTGCGGCGAGAAGACCGCCCCAGGTGGGGCGCAAAGGACATACCAGCGCTGCGTGCTGATGTTGGAGGCGCACGTCCGACTCGAACACGTGTATGGTACATGTTGTTTTCCGTCGGCGGCTAGGCAAGGGGGGGTGACTGCGCGGGCGATGAATCGCATGAATGGGGGTACCGTTGGGCCGAACTGTGCCACCATGCAGGAGGAGGAGGGAGGAGGGACGCGGCCGAACGAAAAAAGGATGGGGCGGGCGGCTCAGGGGTTGGGACGCTCCCCGAGCGTGTGGCATGCGTATGGTACACAAGCCGAACACGGTATCCGAGCGGCGTGGACTGAAAGCGTCCGCCACGGAACCTATTTCATCAGACTTCTGAGCGTGCGCGTCGCCCTCGGGGGGCCGACGCACACACGGAATGAGCACGTCTGGCCGGCGTCGGCCAGGGACGGGGCCGAGAGCTTCCGCCCTGCAAATCCGGGGTTGCCGAAAATCGCAGCATCGCGAAACACACACACACACACACACACACACGACTGGAGCCCTGGGCCCCGCCGTTCTGCGACACTCGTCGGGCCAGATCGATCCCCAATGGCCCCGGGGCCCGAAATCGGACGGCAACGCCCGCTGCGCGAGAGCTGCAACGCCCGGATCTCAGGGAACGGGGCGTCGGAAGTGAGGGGGCCCAGGGACACACAAATCAATACACACTAATCCCAGGATCCCCCATGTTTGTTATATTTGGGGGATGTTCGTCTTCCCCCCCACTTCCCATATTTCCCATACTTTCTGGGGAATCGACGATTCATTGTGTCTGTGTGCTTCCTCCCCTCCTGAGGCAGCCTGAGCCCCTCGCCACCTCGACGGGGAGGCTCTCGTGAAGGGGCGGGCACCCCCGGTGCGTCAGGTTCTTGGCGCAGCCGCCGGGGGGGGGGGGGGCTGCTCGGGCTGGGGTGGTCTCGCCCGCTGCTTCTTTCGGGGAGACGCGAGACTCGGGTACGGGGGCCTCGGGTTGGCCTGACGGGGCCGTCACGAAAGTGTCAAGACCCAGTCTGAAATACGACGCGAGCTCCCGCTGCAAACATCCCACGAAAACGGGACCGTCAAAATCCACGACACGCTCGTCAAAAAAAACGGCAAGCCCGAGGTTTGGCTCACTCGAGTCTCACGTTTCCCCGATCGGGCGGTCTCGCCCGCTGCTTTTTCGCGACGAGTCAGCGGGCCAACGAGCTCGACAGCAGGCAGCTGGCCACCCCGCCGACGATGTCGAACGAGAACTGCATCCGCGTCGAAGTGGGCGCGGGGATGCGGAGTGGCTTGTTATGGAATGAACAAGAGTTGGGTCTCAGGAGGAGGAGCGGCAAGGAATGGAGAAGAGGAGCCGGGAGGAGCGCGGAGGAGCGGGGGGCGCACGGAGGAATCTGGGGGAAGGACTGGGAATAATTTGGGAGAAATGCGGAATGCGAGCGGGACGGGGTGGAGATTGTTGGCGCGGGATGGGGCGGCCCGGGGAGGAGTGGGCGGAATGCGAAGAACTGAGGAATAGCACAGAATGGAGTACGAACGAACTGAAAATGAAGATACAAGGAAAGAGTAGAGAAGACTGGTAATAAACAAAACAATACTTCTTCTTAGAGAAAAATGGGGGCAGGTGGATACGAGCGGAGACTGGTGCGGAAACAAGGCGCGGGGGGATTGAAGGCACCCGAAAGCCTCCTATGCCCTCTGGGGGGCCTCGGAATGGCCCCGATGACCACCGAGGAGTTCCAGAGGCTCCGAAAACCTGCGGGAACAGCGACGGAGCCGCTCAGGGCAGAAACGGGGCCACGAAGGGCAGAGAGGGGGCCACGAAGAGCGACAGCGGGGCCACGAAGGGCATGCATATGGGGCCACGACGGGCGCGAACGAGCGGGGGCCACGAAGGGCATACATATATGGAGCCAGAAATTGCGACAGCGGGGCCACTGAGCGCAAAAAGTGGGCCACGAAGGGCAGCGAGGGGGCCACGCATGGCGACAGCGGGGCGACGAAACGCATGCGTATGGGACCACGAATGGCGCGAGCGAGCGGCGGGGGCCACGAAGGGCAATTAATCCGGGGCCACAGAGGGCAGCGACGCGACGGGGCGCTGAGGGCAGAAACGGGGCCACGAAGGGCAGAGAGGGGGCCACGAAGGGCGACAGCGGGGCCACGAAGGGCATACACATGGGGCCACGACGGGCGCGAACGAGCGGGGGCCACGAAGGGCTTCGTATATGGGTTCACAAAGGGCGACAGCGGGGCCACTGAGGGCAGCAAAGGGGCCACGAAGGGCAGCGAGAGGGCCACGAAGGGCGACAGCGGGGCTACGAAGGGCATGCGTATGGGGCCACGACGGGCGACTGCGAGCGGGGGCCCCGAAGGGCATAGAAGGCGGGGCCACAATGGGCAGCGACGGGGCCACTGAGGGCAGCAACGGGGCCACGAAGGGCAGTGAGCGAAGGCGACCGCGGAACCAGTACGGGCAGCGAGGGGCATCGAAGGCGGGCGAAGGGCAGCGAGCGGCGACTGCAGTCCCTAACGGGCTGGTCGGGCGGGCAGGCCCAGACGGGCGGGTCGAGCGGGGGCGGGTCGTTGAAGCGTAAATTCTGCTTGAACCGCCAAGCAATATGTAGCGGGAGCGCGATTCCTGAGTGTCGAGGAACGGCATCCGAATAAATTGTTAAGAAAAATCAGGCGGGAGCCGCGATTCGGTGGTAAATTGCGAGGACGTCCCAAGCGAGAGCGCGATTCTTCCATAAATTGTGAGGAAGTATCAAGCGGGAGCCGCGATCCGGTGGTAAATTGCAAGAAGTTCTAAGCAAGAGCGCGATTCTTCAATAAATTGTGAGGAAATATCAGGCGGGAGCCGTTGTTGTTGTAAACCCGGGGCCAACGACACAGTTTTTGACCCTCAAGACTTTTCCTGATAAAAATCAAAGTGCGAGCCCCTGGAAAGGCACTTCAATCGAAAAGAACGATGTGCACCGGACGGGGGGATCAACCATAATTATTATTCCGACGTGAAAATTCAAGAACAACAACAACAAGAACAGCAGCAGCAACAACAACAACAACAACCACAACAACAACAACAACAACAACAACAACAACAACAACAACAACAACAACAAAAACAAAAACAAAAACAAAAACAAAAACAAAAACAAAAACAAAAACAACGATGACGACGACGACGACGACGACGACGACGACGACGACAACAACAACAGTATCATCCCTCCCTCTTTCCCGTTCCCAGCCCCTCCTCCTCCTCATCATCCTCCGCCTCCTCCTCCTCCTCCTCCCTCCCTCCCTCCCTCCCTCCCTCCCTCCCGCCATCCCTCCTCCCTCTCCCCTCCATATGCCCTCCTCCTCCTCCGCAAGGGGATTGCCTCGGCCGCTGGGCGAAGGGGGGGGGCGCTGGCCTCGCGTCGATGAGGCCCGCGAGCGGCACCGTGAAGTTGGTCTTGGCCTTCTCCTGCCGCGACCCACCCCCAGGGGGGGGGGGGAGGGCGGCCCTCCCGCGCCGTTCCAGACCCAGGGGGGAACGAGGGGGGAGGGGGGCGAGGACCAGGACAAGTGTTCATGACAAGTGTGATGTGTTGAATGTTGTGTTTTTGTGTGTTTGCCGCATGCTTGTTTGTCAAGAGGACGGATTTGGTGAGTGCGCTTTCAGACGACGCATTGGTTTGACCGCCCCCCTCTTGCGGGACAGGGGGGCGAGGACCAGGACAAGGGCGATGAGGACGAGGAGGGGGTGGACGAGGAGAGACTGAGGAGGGAAGAGGGACGTGGGCGAGGAAGGCGAGGAGGGAAAAGGAGAAAGAGGAGGAGGAGCACGAGGAGAAGGAAAAGTTTCTGCATGCGGACCTCCTCCCTCCTCCTTCCTCGAGAAAAGAAGCCAGGAACCCACAGACGAATGCCCCCCTCGACCTGCGAAAGACTCTGCCTGGCCTCCCCCGAACGAGGGGGAAGTGCCTTCAGCATGCTCCAGCTGACCAGCTGCGCGGCCGGCAGGAAGGGGTTCCCCAGCTTGAACCTCGCGGGCGGCGCGCGAGCACAGGGCGCAGGAAGGGGGAGGAGAGGGACAGACTCAGGGGGGGGACAGATGGGGCAGGGAGAGGAAAGAACAGAGGAACAGGGAGAGGACAAAGGGATGAGAGAAAGAGGATGGGGGAGTGCGAGGAGGACGAGGAAGAAGGGGGGGAAGGGAAACAGGGAGAACGCAGGGCGAAAAAGCGCGAGGGGCGGGGAAGCGCGGGACGAACGGGATGAGCGGGACGAGCAGGAAACGCGGGAGCGTGAGGGGCGGGCAAGACGGGAAGGGCGGGAAGACCACGGAGCGTAACAGAAGCATAAGAGGAGGGGGGGAGGAGGCAGGGAAGAACGGAAGAGGGGCAGAAAGAGAGAACGGGTGAAGTAAGGAGAGGGCGGAGAGGGGGGGAGGAAGAACGCGGGCGGTGGAAGGAAAAGGGAAGAAGGAGGGGCAAGGACGCGGCAGGAGGAGGCTGGCGGGGCAAAAGGCAAGGAGAGAACGAGGGGAGGAAGGAAGAGGCAGGAGAAATTGGGGAGCAAGGAACCCAGCCCCGAGTCAACATTGATACCAGGCCCCTTGCGCCAAAGACGCTTGCACTCATCGAAAAAAATGAAGCATAACGATTGAATCAAATCTCAAACACATATGAAGAAGTTTGAATTCCCCGCGAAACCACATGAATGGAATCGCTAAAAAATATGAAAATACAATTAGAAATTGAAAGCACCAACTTAAACAAATACCGACGTGTTGGCTTCCACGCTTGTGCATATCCATACGGGCCTTCACAACCAACCAAACTGGCAGACGGGCAAAAAGTCCCGCGCACGAGAATCGAGGGGGAAGGGCGATCGAGGAAGGAGCCGGGGGAAGGAGAGAGAGGGAGGGACAAGCTAGGCGCGCAAGCGTCTGATCTGACGTCCTGCCCCTCCCTCCCATCCCTTACGATGGCGCAGTCTCAGGTTCCTCCTCCACGGGATCCCTGAGCGCAAACTCTCACAGTGGACCACAGATTCCTCACAGACCGGCCGTGCCGAACAGAGCTCTGGCAGACCCGCCAGCCGTGCGAACAAGAGAATTCTCTGACAGACCAGGCTTGCCAAACAGAGATGTCTAACACACACCAGCCGTGCCAAAGAGAGTCCTGCAAGAGGTAGAATTGAATGCTCGGGGTGATCCACACTGGCTCCAAGCAAAACGACGGCGCGCCAGGCAAACCAGGATCGCAACGTGCGCCGACCTCTGATAGGCAAGCACACGCAGCGGACCTTGGCGTGGGGAACAAGGCAACAGCACTGAATTACAAAACCAGGCCCGCTGGAGGGAGAAGAAAAGAAGGGAGAGGGAAGACAAGGAGGAATTCTGGGCTCTGCCATCTTTGGTCGAATGCACACATCAGGCTGGCGTGACCCGCCGCGCCCGTCTTGCACCAACGCTCTAAAGCATTAACGCATGTCTGGGCATCTGGCGCCGGCTTACCGCGGAAATGGCTTGTCGCTCTTAACACGGCGTATGTGGCGAGCGTAGATCTCCTCTCGATTCGAACAATCCGATGCCGAGACGGGCAATGATCCCGAGAAAAAACGAGATGCATGGCAGTGCACGGCGTACCACGGCGTAGAAGAGCACGGCAGAGCGTAACATGTCCAGAGGGAAACGAAACATGACGCAAGACGAAACATGTAAATGAACGGTTGGGAACGAACGGAAGCGTAACAAAAGTAAGAGTCAAAGCTTCAGCGGGAGCACGATTTGGACGATCCGCAACGAAGGTTGTGCAGTCAGCGCTGCAGCGGGTGTAGAATTGGAAAGGACTGAGAACCAGAAAATGAGACCACCGCGGTAGCGGGAGCGCCATTCGTAAAACACCGAAAATGATAGATCACCCTTTGGGGATCCGATGCGTTAAAAAATACGCGAAGAGGGGCAGGCTACGACCTCGGGATCTTCGGGGGGAAAAGGAGACTAGTATCCGCGTTGTGTAGGTGTAGTTGTAAAGGGAGAAGGAAACCGGGGGATGAAGGACAGGGGGAAGGGGAGCCGGGAGACAGGAGGGGGAGGGACGGAAAGGGCTGGAATGGTAGAAATCAGTAGGGACCATCCTCCTCCCCCTCCCACTCCTTTACCCTGGACGCCCTCGAACCTCCCAGAAACATCTGAAACCCAATGAGTCCCAGAACCTCCTCCGAAAGCAGGAGCCCTCCTCCTCCTCCTCCCCATCCTCCTCCTCCTACGCCTCCTCCCTCACAACTATTCCGTAGCCATTTTGGCTCAAGCCGCTTTGGCTCGAGCGGTGGATCGGCCTCGCTCTCCTTCTTCTCCGCAGGCGGGATGGCGCGGCTTAGAGGAGTTTCGACTGCGCCCGATGCAACCTCCCTGGTGGGGGCGGCTGTACCGCGACGAAGTCCTCGCTGGAGCGCCGCGGAGTACTGTCGCTGCTGTGGCGCGTTCGGTCCTATCGGCATCGCTTCGGGCGATCGCCGATCAGCCAGCGCAGCCTGCTGCTGACGGTGCTGCTGCGGCCGAAGGCTCTCGCCCCCCCCACACTCCGAGGCTGCTGCGGCGGCCCTGCGGCGGCAGCGGTGCCGCCCACGGAAGGCGGAGGCGCACAGCGGCTCGTGGAGGTGGCGACGCTGGTGCCGCGGGCGCTGCGGCCTCGGGCGCCGAGGACGACGACGAGCCGGACGACGCCTGGGCGGACACGTCTGGTGGCGCCGTGCCGCCGTCGGCGCCGAGGCGGGCCCTGCGTGCCCGTGGGGCGGCGGCGGCGGCGGCAGCCCAGGCTCGCGGCGGTGTCGGCGTTGGCGGCGCCCGCTGCTGTACCCGCGGCCGCGGCGGCGGCGGCGCCGCGCCGATCGGGCCCGGCTGCTGGCCTCGACGTGCGCCAGCGGGCTGACCTCTTGGTGGCCAGCGTCGAACCTCGTCGGCTGCTCTACGAGGCCTCTACGAGGCCTCTACGATGCCTACAAGAGGCCCCATACGATGCCTGTGGGGGGACCTCTACGATGCCTCCAAGAGGCCGCTCAAAGGCCTCTCAGAGGCCCCTCAGAGGCCTGCCTCTAAGAGGCCTCTACGAGGCCTCTCACAGGCCTGCCTCTACGAAGCCTCTACGATGCCTCTTGGACGTCCAAGAGCGGGCGCGGACGGCGCTCAGGGGCATCCCGCAGGCGGACCGTGGCGGTGCTTCCCCCCGTGAGCCCTGCCCTGGAGGTTGGGGAGGTGCTCTGCCTAATGGCGCCGTCGGCCTTCCACGCGGCGTTCCTCGCCCGGCCCTGGCCACCCGCTGACTGTTGCGCGGTTCGCTCTGCAGCGGATGCGAATGTCAAATTATCCTGGCGATGGACCCAACCATGCGCACATGTGAGCACCGCAGGTCAGCTGGGACGAAGAAAGGGAGCTCCTTACGGGGCCACGAAATGCTGCTCTGGGTTGGGGAGACACGCGTGGACGCAACCACCGGGGTTTTCGGTGGGGACCCCTATAGGGCAACAAAACGCCGCACTGGGGCCAAGCCCCTTATGCGGCCGCGTCGTCTCAATTTCCCTCCCAGCTCACGCATTTCGCCCACCTTCGCCCTCGCGCCCTGGCGGCCGCGGCCGCGGGCCGAACGCCGCGCGGAACCCCCGCGACGCGCGCCGGTCACCCCAGGGGGGGGGGGCCGGCGACGCGCGCGAGTCGTCCGCGGCGCTGAAACAATTCAACGGCCGGCTCACAAAATGCAAAGCACTCGACAGAGCGCGCCGGGAAGCGGGGCAACTCCTGGAGGCATCGCGTCGCGGAGCCGCCGCGACACGCGCCAGTCGCCCCGAGAGGCTTCCAGCGACGCGCGCGGATCGTCATCGGCGCGAGACCAAACAGAAAGACTGTCGAAAGAAGGCGAGGCTCGGGCCGGCCGCTCCTCACGTCAGGCCTCGCGGATAAACTCGGCCAAGCCCGTCGCCCCCCTCCCGCAGCGCTCCGCGCGCGCTGCAAACAAACTGCCCCAGCTGCCCCCGCGGGCCCTCCGGCGGCCCAGCGAGGAAGAAGTCGACGCGCGGCGCCCGCATGAGCGGGAGGTCCTCGCGGCGCGTGGCGCGCGCGAGCAGCGCGTAGAGCTCCAGCCACCAGTCGTCGCCCTCCTTCTCGCCGCCCCCGACCTCGCGGCGGCCGCCGTCCAGGATCACGCCCGGGCGACGTCGGCCGAGGAAGCAGCGCGCCGGGCAGCCCACCGCCCAGGGCTAAAGTCCACATTACCGATGGGGGCACGGAGTGTAGACTGCTCGCGCCACGGCGGCGCGGCCGCAGACTGCCCGCGAGCGCCGCCCCCTCGCCCGGTCGCCTTCTCGCACGGCGCGCCCCTGGCACGCCGCCGCAGCGATGGCCCTGCCGCGCGAGAACGGAAGCCAGCGCGGGTGACCTTGGAGGCACGGAAGGTGAACGGCTCCGACGTGCGAGGCTCGATGAATACCAGCTGTCGTCGTGACGCTCGAGGTCGCCCACGGAGGGCGCGCCCGCGTACTTTTCCATGCGCACCCAGAACCCCAGCAGCAAGTGCTTCAGATAGATCCTCTTCTTCCCGTCTCTCTCGGCTTGCTCGACCATTGCCCTGTCCCGCGGGTCCACGACGACGCGCACGATCTGCCCCTCGGCATCCTTGACGAGGCCGTTCTCGAGGTCAAGCGCCTCCAAGAGCCGGGTCCGCATGCCCACGCGCACTGGGAGGAGTCCGTGCATGCCGCCAGTGTTCTTCGGTCTGGCGCAGTTCATCATCTCGGCGGCGTCCTTCACGCGCATCGTCGGGGCAGACCTGTCGGCTGCCTGCACAAGGAAGAGGAGCTTCTTCAGGACGTCCACGTCCCGCTGGGCGCGCATGTTCATCCACCGCGCCACGGTGTCCCAGCAGGACCTGATCATGTGGCCATTCTGGAACCTGTCCTCCCGGAGCCGACGATCGTCGGACTTCACCTGCATGGCACTCCACGCGGCCCGCATGGCCGGAGGCACCTGCTTCCCCGTCTCGCGCAGGAACGCCATGAGGTCCCAAAGCTTCGGGTCCTTGAAGCGGTTGACCGCCTGGAGCTCGGAACGGCATGTTGCAGAAGAGTTTCGAACCGTGTGAGGAGTATGCCCAAATTGGTGGCGGTCTCCACATGCGACCCTGCCGCTGGGGCCGTCGGTGGAGCTTCCTGTGGGGCCACGAACCGTGTGAGGGGTGTACCAAAATGGGTGGCGGTCAACACATGTGGCCTGTGCCTCTGGGGCCTTCGGTGGAGTTCCTTGTGGGGCCACGAACCATGTGAAGGGTGTGCCAAAATGGGTGGAGGTCCCCGCGTGCAACCTGTGCCACTTGGGCCTTCGGTGGAGCTCCCTGTGGGGCCACGGACCATGTGAGGTGTGTGCCAAAATGGATGGCGGTCCCCGCATGCGGCCTCTGCCACTGGGGCCTTCGGTGGAGCTCCCTGTGGGGCCACGAACCGTGTGATGGGTGTGCCGAAATGCGTGGCGGTCCCCGCATGCGGTCTGTGCCATTGGGGCCTTCGGTAGAGCTCCCTGTGGGGCCACGAACCGTGCGAGGGGTGTGCCAAAATGAATGGCAGTCCCCGCATGCGACCTGTGCCGCTGGGGCCTTCGGTGGAGCCTCTTGTGGGGCCACGAACCGTGTGAGGGGTGTGCCAAAATGGGCGGCGGTCCCTGCATGCGGCCTGTGCCTCTGGGGCCTTCGATGGAGCTCCCTGTGGGGCCACGAACCGTGTGATGGGTGTGCCAGAATGCGTGGCGGTCCCTGCATGCAGCTGTGCCAAAACAACTCAGGTTCCCCCCGACACCATTCCTGGCACATCACCAATACCTCGCGGAGGAAGGGGAGGAGGAGTGAGGAGGAAGTGGAGGGGGAGGTGACGCGGGGCGCTGTCTCTTTAAAACGAGGCCCCAACACCACAGGATGGGTGCGAAAAAAACACAAGTCAAAGGTCTCACTCTCCTGGCCAAGATCCCCCCGGCCTTCCAAGTGAACTCGCCGCTCGAAACGCCGCGCTGGAGGCCCCAAACAGGTGGAGGCCCCCAACAGGGCCTTCGGTGGAGCTCCCTGTGACGGTCACGAACCGTGTGAGGGGTGCCCAAAATGGGTGGCGGTCTCCGCATGCGAACCCTGCCGCTGGGGCCTTCGGTGAAGCTCTCTGTGGGGCCACGACCGTGTGAGGGGTGTGCCAAAATGGGTGGCGGTCCCCGCATGCGGCCTGTGCCACTGGGGCCTTCGGCGGAACTCCCTGTGGGGCCACGAACCGCGTGATGGGTGTTCCAAAATGGGTGGCGGTCCCCGCATGCGACCCTGCCGCTGGGGCCTTCGGTGGAGCTCCCTGTGGGGCCACGAACCGTGCGAGGGGTGTGCCAAAATGGGTGGCGGTCCCCGCATGCGACCCTGCCGCTGGGGCCTTCCGTGGAGCTCCACGTGGGGCCACGAACCGTGCGATGGGTGTGCCAGAATGGGTGGCTGTCCCCGCATGCGGCCTCTGCCACCGGGGCCTTCGGTGGAGCTCCAGGTGGGGCCACGAACCGTGTGATGGGTGTGCCAAAATGGGTGGCGGTCAACACATGCGGTCTGTGCCACTGGGGCCTTCGGTGGAGCTCCCTGTGGTGCCACGAACCGTGCGAGGGGTGTGCCAAAATGGATGGCGGTCCCCGCATGCGGCGCCTGTGCCACTGGGGCCTTCGGCCTTCAGTGGAGCTCCCTGTGGGGCCACGAACCGTGCGAGGGGTGTGCCAGAATGGGTGGCGGTCCCCGCATGCGGCCTGTGCCACTGGGGCCTTCGGTGGAGCTCCCTGTGGGGCCACGAACCATGTGAGGGGTGCGCCAAAATGCGTGGCGGTCCCCGCATGCGGCCTCTGCCACTGGGGCCTTCGGTAGAGTTCCCTGTGGGGCCACGAACCGTGCGAGGGGTGTGCCAAAATGGGTGGCGGTCCCCGCATGCGGCCTCTGCCACTGGGGCCGTCGGTGGAGCTCTCTGTGGGGCCACGACCCGTGTGAGGGCTGTGCCAAAATGGGTGGCGGTCCCCGCATGCGACCCTGCCGCTGGGGCCTTCGGTGGAGCTCCCTGTGGGGCCACGAACCGTGTGAGGGGTGTGCCAAAATGCGTGGCGGTCCCCGCATGCGGCCTCTGTCACTGGGGCCTTCGGTGGAACCCCCATGTGGGACCACGAACCGTGTGATGGGTGTGCCAAAATGGGTGGCGGTCCCCGCATGCGACGTGTGCCATTGGGGCCTTCGGTTAAGCTCCCTGTGGGGCCACGAACCGTGCGAGGGGTGTGCCAAAATGGGCGGCGCTCCCCGCAT